AGCCCTGGCTGCCCAGCCCCAGTCCAACCGTCAGATGAATGTGGCCCCAGGAGAGGCCCAGGCGAGAACAGCAGGAGAGTCGCTCATCCAGGTTTCCTGCCCGTGAATCATGAGAAATAATAAATTCTGGCCAACTGTATCTTTATTTACTTTCTTGTAAATATCGCACACACAGGCTCTCACGCAGACACACAGGCTCACACGCAGGTGCAGACACACAGATTCTCTCCACCTGCGGCACACCAAAGGCACACACAGGCTCACCTGCTGATACACACACAGGGATGCAATCAGACACACTAACTCACACCCAGTTGCATCTGGAGACTCAGGTGCACGAGCACACAGACACATACAGACTGACTTATGCAGACTCACAGACACCCACACGCACCCTACACTCTGAGGTCCTGGGTCTGGCTCCATAACCTCTGAAAGGAGAGGAGCCAGGAGGCGAATATTGCATCCTGGGGGACACCCCCACCAAAATGTCCAAAGGGAGTGTCCCAGCTCTTTCCCTCCTGCGGCCCCGTGTGGACAAGAGCAGCCAGAAGGAGGACACAGTCCCCAAAAGTGACTCGAAGATTCTGGTGATTTCCAGGGGACACGGGGTGGGAGTGGGGTCCTGGAAGGCTTCCCTGGGGAGGGCACAGCAGGGCTGCACTGTGAAGGCTGGAACTGCCCAGGCACAGGGGTCCTTAAGTCTGATCTGCCCAGGACAGCCTGGTGGTGTCCCAGTGTCCCCTCCCACTGTCCTGGTTTGCAGGATAAATCCTTCCACCACTAACGATGCCGGAAACAGAAGTGCAGGTAACGCTGAGGCAGTGCGGGAGCCTTGGCACAGCCCAGATGCCCCCAGCCTCCAGCCCGCCATGCACACCCCTCCTCGTGATTGTGGGTCCACGCGGGGGGTCTCTGCAGCAGCCTGCCCGCAAGAGAAGGCAAAACATTGATGCGAAACCCCTGGTCTGGACCAGTCCTGTCCAGTCAGAATATAATCCGATTTTCCTATTTCCCAGCAGCCACATTCAAACCAGTAAAGGGGAACAGGAGAAACTAGTTTCATTTATGTATGTCATGTAACCTGATCATCCAAAACAGTATTGTTTCAATACAGTATCAATGAGCCCTTCCACATTTCTTTCTTTCGATCAGTCTCCAAAATCAGGTGTGTGTGTTTCGCACTAATGGAACATCTCCATTCACGTGCAAGTTTTCTCGGGGGTGGACTCGGTTTGTGTTTAAGTCCCATAAAATCTATGGTTCAAAAAGTAGATTCACACACCTGACTTGAACCACATGCACGTAGACGTTTTCCAACCATGAAATCTATCATCTGTTTTGAATGTAAATTCCAATTAAAGTTCTGAAGACTGGAGCCTCCTTTCCTCGGCCATGCCAGCCACATTTGACAAGCTCAGTCGTCACACTTGGCTTTCACTATCCCGCGGTGCAGGTCCAGACCCTTCCTCCTTTCCCAGCGAGTACACTGAGGCCCAGAGAAGTGTCCAGGGCCATCTAAGAGTCTACACTTGCACTGGGACCAGACTGCATTTTTTGGCTTCTTGTCCACGATGCTCAGCTTCATAAATTCACATCTCATTCCACCAAGGCCAAGAGCTTGACCGGCTGGGGATGCAGTCTGGTGTGGAGGGCAATATCTGGGCTGTTGGAGGGCGGGGTACTGATGTCCTCTGTGCCTCATCCCCTCTGGGAAAGGGGATCACAGTCCCTTCTCATACAGTCACTGGCAGGGCTAGGCTGGCAGGCCTAGGCTGGCAGGGGAGAGGGGGCTCTGTGCCTTGGTTTCTCCATCTGTAAAATGGTGACAGCACACCTCTGCCATGGGCTGCTGCACGGCAAAGATTCTCTACGGTGATGCCTGTGAAAGGCTTTTGTACTGTGCACACAGTATGAGAGGTGGAGGCAGAACTATGTCCCCGCGAAACATATGTCCAAGTCCCAACTCCTAGAACCTGTGATTGGGACCTTCTTTGGAAATAGGGTCTTGGCAGGTGCAATCAAGTTAAGATGAGGTCATACCGGAGCAGGGTGGGCCCTAATCCAATGACTGGTGTCTGTATAAGAAGAGAAAATATTTGCAAAAATTTTCTCACATTCTGTCGGTTGTCTTTTTGTTTTCCTTATGGTTTCCTTTGCTGTGCAGAAGTTTGTAAGTTTCATTAGGTCCCACTTGTTTATTCTTGCTTTTATTTCTATTGCTTGGGTAGACTGTCCTAGGAGAACATTTTTGAGATGTATGTCAGATAATGTTTTGCCTATGTTTTCCTCTAGGAGGTTTATTGTATCTTGTCTTATGTTTAAGT